AATTCTTAGGGGGCAGAAATGAAGTTCACCTTCAAACCATGGGCACCAAAGAGGGTAGCAGGTCAAGGAACTAAGATCTGTTGAACCCCTACTCTGAGCCAGGTCTTTATATTTTATTTAATCCTTTCAATAACTCATAAGGTTGATATTATTATTCATATTTTGCAGACGGGGGAAACTGAGGCTCAGAGAGGTTCTAGAACAGCCAGGAAGTGCTAGAGCCAGGATACAGAATGTAAGTGAAGCTGAGCTACTGTAATAAAGAGGCTTCAACATACAGTAGGTTAAAGAATGTTGATTATTTCTTTCTCATCTAACAGTCCCAAGTCAGTAGGAAAGCTCTGCTCCAGGCAGTCACTCAGGGACCCAGGATCCCACCATCTGTCACTTCACAAGTTCCTATAACTGGGGTTGGCAATTTTTTCTGTAAAGAACCAGATAGCGAACATTTCAGGCTATGCCAGACATATGGTCTCTGTCCTTGCTATGCAACCCTGTTGTATCATGAAAGCTGCCAAAGACAATATGTAAACGAATGGGTGTGGCTGCATTTCAATAAAACTTTATTTACAAAAACACTCCATAGACTGGTTTTGGCCCAAAGGTCCTAGTTTGCTGATGATTATGCTAGAACAGAGGTTCTCAAAGTGTAGTCCTAGGGAACCAGCAGCAACAGCAGCATCTGGAAACTTGTTAAAAATGCAACTTCTTAAGCCAGTCCCCAGACCTATTGAATTAGAAACTTTGGGGGTGGAGCCGAGAAATCGGTCTTTTAACAAGCCCTCCAGGTGATTCTTATTTATGCCTGTTGAAGTTTAAGAACCCCTGTTCTAGAGCCCTGCCTCTCAGCCCTGGCTTCACACGAACACCAACACTGAGAGCTTCAAGCTCTCAGTGCCCAGACAATTACATTAGAGCCTCTGGGATGGGATACAGGCATCAGCACCTTTAAAGCTCCCCAGCTGATTCTCAGGTACAGCCAGTATCGAGAAGCACTGCCCTAGAGCACCCTTACCATCTGCATGGTCAGAGTTAGTTTGCAACCTGACCTACCACACTGCTGCCTCTCCAAGGGGAATACCCTGCACTCCCCAAGGTCTAGGGTTTGGTTTCTCCCTTTGTCTTACCTTGCAAGCCCTCAACATTCTGGCCCCTTCTTGGGAACCCCGTATGGGGCTTCATAATAGGGAGGATCTTGGGTCAGGCTAACCCATCTCTGGCAGGAGGAGAGGATGACTTTGTGGTGGGTTAGAGGGTGTGGAACGGAAAGAAATCAGGAGGAAGAGAAACAGGAGAGGGAGGGGGAGGTGACCTCTCTGCTCTGGTCCAGAGGGAGGAGAACTTGGATATGGAGGCCACTAGCACAGTGGCCTGTCACTGGGGCTCAGTGAGGCCAGTTCCCTTCCCTGCCCATGCTATAGGGTGACAAAGAGCAGTCTTCAGGTATCCCCAAGTCTTCCTTTATAAGGCAAACATTTATATGGCACTTACTGTTTGCCTGGAAGTACTCTAAGTGCTTTCCATCAATTAACTCATTGTATCCTCACTACAACCCTCTGGGGTACGGATTCTCATTACTCCCATTTTCTAGATGGAGAGACAGAGGCTTTAAGACTGAGGCTTTAATTTACACAGGCTTACATAGGTAGTAAGTAGTAGAGGTAGGATTCAGCTCAGGAACTCTGGTCGCTATGCTCTGCTACCTCTCTTCAGAACAGCCACGATTATTATTATTCCCATTTCACAGATGAAAACACCCCCATGTAACTTGCTCAAGATCACAGAGCCAGGAGGTAGTGGAGGCAGGAGTTGAATTCAGGTCTCTCCACCACCAGAGCTCTTGGATTTACCAGTTTGCCCCACAGCCTGGTTTCGGTCCCCCCTCCCAACTCCCCTCCATCTGTCCGTTGGGCATATTCTGGGTTTGCACGTGTGTGGCTGACTCACACGGGAGCAGGAGAGCCCATCCTCTGGAGTGGGAAGGCAGACTTTATTTCGGTTTTGAGCCATCTTGGGTTGATTCTGGGAGAGCTGCCAAACCCAGCTAACACCTTTTCCCCTGCCAAAGATGCTGAGTGGGAGGGCCCCTGGGGGGGCCCCCGTGACACCAACTCCTCAGATGAGTCTCAGCACCCAAGGGAAAGACGGGCATGCCTGCTTCATCTGCCTTAACTACAATCTCTTCCCTGAGGGTATTTACTGGTTCCAGTTGCTAAAATCTCTTTCTCACTTCCTCTCTGCTCTGGTCCAGAGCCAGAAGAAACCCCAAGAAGCCATTTGTTCTAGGCTTGCCTTTGGGCAACTGAGGTAATCCTAGTTATTCCCATTTTACAGATTTAGTAACTGAAGCTTGCTACAGCTCCTGATTGGGTTGTCCTCTTTCCATCAGCCCTATAATTTCCCAAATGTCCCTGATGATGAGTCACCTGGGGCACATGTCAACTATCTAGATCACTAGGCCTCTGCTCTGAAAATTCCCATACAGTAGGTTAGAGTTGGGGCCCAGGAATCTGCCCATTACCAGGGTGCTTCTCGTCATCAGGGACCCCTGTCAGGTGTGGGGATTCTCCCCCATTTCAGGTGAAAGACCTTGGCTGGCCCTGTCCCAGCTATCCCCCAAATTGTAATAATTGCCGCTGAAACTTGGATGAGTCTTGTGGGTTTACCTGCTCACTTAGCAACATTTCCCTTCTAGCCCAACTTCAGGAAATCAGAAAGGGGCCGGTAGGATGGTGTGGGTGGTTCCTCCGTCCTCTCTGGCCAGTTCTGCTGTGTCCTCCAGAGGATGCTGGCTCTGGACCAGAGCAGAGAGGAAGTGAGAAAGAGATTTTAGCAACTGGAACCAGTAAATACCCTCAGGGAAAAAGATTGCCAAGGGTCATCAGAGACCTCCCAAGTGTACTCAGATATATGGATGTCTTATCCCCACTTAAACCAAATCTTCTAGATGCTGAGGGGCTCTCTACTTGCTAGAGGTCTCTAGCCCATTTGTTTTTGGTCTGTGCAGAAAAAAAACAAAAGGCATTGGAGGGGGAAGTTTGTTTCAAAGTGTGTTGGCTTTAAACTATGTGTGGAAATTCTTCAATACTCCATCCTAGAGAGGTGGAGGCTCATTCCCCTCTCCTTAAGTGTGAATGGACTTAGTGACTTCTTTCTAATGCACAGAATAAAGTGGACAAGGCACTCTTCGACTTCTCAGACTAGGTCACAAAGGGCACTGTGGCTGCCTTCTCTTTCTTGGATTACTGATGCTGAGGAAAGCCAGCTGCCAGGTTGTGAGGACACTCAGGCGGCCCAATGGAAAGATGCTCAGAAACTCTCACACAGTGAGAGACTGAGGCCTCCTGCCAATAGCTAGTAAAAAAGACTTTGGTCAATAGCCATGTGGATAAGCCATCTTGGAAACAGGTCTACCAGCCCCAGTCAAGCCTTCAGGTGACTGCAGCCCAGGCCAACGTTTTGTCAGCAACCTCATTAGAGACCCTGTACCAGAACCTGCAGCCAAGCTGCCTCTGAATTTCTGGTTCACAGAAGCTGTGAGATAACAAGTGTTTGTTGTTGTAGAATAATAGAATACACACACACACACATACACACGTAGAATATGCCTATGTGCCTCCATTTCCTGGCACAGAGTTCCTAAAACCCTTGCAATTATTTAAATGATAAGAACACTAAGAATATCTTTTGATCTTAATATTTGGTCTTTGTCCCTGGTTCCTGACACAGAGCTCCTAAATCTCTCGGAATTTCCTGGGTGACAGGAGTGTCTTTTGTTTTAATGAGGTGACTCTTGGTAGGGCTCCTGGATGGTTTTAGGATGGGAGCTGGTCACCAGAAAGACCAAGCCATGATTAGAAAGAAGCTTGAACTTTTAGCTCTGCCTCCATCCTTCGGGAAGGGGAGACGAGCACAGTGACTTAATGATAGGCCATGCCCATGTGATGAAGACTCCAGAGCATGGGGTTCAGAGAGCTTCCAGGTTGGTGCATACATCCATGTGCCAGGAGGGTGGTGCACCCCACCTCCATGGAGACAGAAACTTCTGTGCTCCTTGAATTTGTCCTCTATATCTCTGCCTCTACTCGTCCATCTGTATCCTTTATCTTATCCTATATTATACAATAAATGGGTAAACCTAAGTGTTTCCCTGAGTTCTGTGAGCCATTCTAGCAAATCATTGAACACAAGAAGGTGATCATGGGAACCCCAATTTATGGCCAGTTGGTCAGAAGTATAGGTGGCAATTGGTATCTGGAGTGGTGGGGGGACAGTCCTGTGGGCCTGTGCCCTGAACCTGGGGGATCTGAGGCTACCTCCAGGTGGATAGCGTCAGAACGGAGTTAAATTGTAGGACACCCGCTTCCACCCATTTAGTGACCAGACCCTGGGGCTCCCTGGCACTGGCTGCTGTGATATAAGGCATGAGAGCACCCCAATAGCCCTTGCTCTGTGTGGGGCCTGCAGTAGGGTGGCCCTGCACACTAAAGACCTAGTGAGCAAGGACGAGGATGTGGCAGCCCCACCTTTGGCCCCTGTGTGAACTTGCCACAGTCCTTGGCAACACCCCCCCACCCGACCCTGCTTCCCCATCTAGACACACAGAAGCCTGTTTGCAGTCAGGCCGTCCTCATCCCCTGCCCTTGGCCTAGCTCCTCTCACCTCCACCCACACAGATGCCAACAGCGGGAACTTGGTCAGGAAACGTGTGCTCAGAGGGACGAACCTTGACACCATCCTGCCGCCTGGAGTCTCAGGTGTGAGGCTCTCAGCACCTACAGGGACATGATGGGGGATGCATTGGTCGAGGGGCAAACCCAGCCCTCGGGGGGCAGGGGTGCTTTCCTGGACGGTCAGGTCAGGGGTACAGGGCTGGAAAAAGGGTCTGGGGGCAGTCTTGGGAGGTTGGCTTAGCAGTTGCCACAAGTTCCTTCCATCTCCCGGGGCCTTGGGCATTACTCTTGGCACCTGAACTCTTTCTTCTATATCTCCTTCTGCAGGCTCACAGCTTCCATCCTGCCATGACCCCAACACCCATCTTGGTGCCCTCCCTGCAGCCCACATGCTCACTGCCTTGGGGTCAGCCAGGCTCGCTCTGTCCCTGGAGCTTCCTGCAGCCCTACCCTCTTCCTGAAGAATCCCGGGGGCTCCTTGGTGCTTGTGAGGAGCCTGGCCTCCTCCTGCCATTCAAGGTCCTCCAAACTCTACCAGCCTCTGTCCAAGTGATTTGAATCAGAGCTCCCCAGGGCTCGTTGGGATGAAACACCCTCTGTAGACACCCTGACTCCCCTGCACCCATCTCCTATAGGAGAGGGAGTGGGAGGACAGAAGAGGCAGATGGATGGGGTGTCTGCACAGCTTGAGGGGCAAGGTGTGGGGGCAGGCAGAGAGGGCAGACCCCAGGATGGACAGATGGACAAGGTATCCAGCTCTCCCCTTTCCTGAACGGCCACAGGAGGAATGAGGTCGCTGCACCATGCCTCTCGGAGAGATGCTGAGAGTGTGAATGAGAACAGCTTGTGAGGGGCTCTGACGAAGCGGCCTGGGGAGGAGAACTTTCGTAACCTTCCGGACCTGGCATTGAACCAGAGGACAAATCACATGACCCAAGTTACTCTGCCCTTTTAGCTTTCCTGGATCACAACCCAAATGTTCTTACACTCTGCAGGGGCTCTCTAATCTGGTGAGGGGACATGGATGTGTCAGGGGAGGGCATGAGGGTTCTGAGCTGCATAGTGTATATGACATCTTATGGGTATGCGCACACGTACATTTTGTCCTAGAATGTCTACAGCTTCTTGAAGGGGTCTGTGACCCATAAAAGGGTCTAACTTGGTACGAGGCTATCCAGACTGGACCCACATTTGCTGTTTACTCCCAGCAAATCTGGTTCTAAGTTTAAGGACTGTCAACATTCACCCTGAAGAATCCCCACCTCTTCACTTTGAAACCTTAATACTGAACCTGCTTTGGGAGGCTTGAGATCAAACCTGCCAGGCAGGTGCACGCTCTATCCTTCTCTTCTTCCCAGGCCAGCCTCGGTTTCCCTGGACCTGCCTTATGTTACAGCCACACCCCACACTTCAGGGAATGTTCCCAGCAACAGGGAAATCATCTGCCCCATGCACATATCCTGCATCTCAGGAGCCCCTTCTCCAAGATTTTCTTTACATTTTAATTTAGCTGCATGGACATCTGCTCGTATAGGAGTTTTCATGTGTTTCCTGGACCCACATACAGTTTCCTAACGTGACGTACAAACAGGGTCGTTCCTGCGATAACGTCAGTGATTACGGCCAAATGGCTTCTTTCTTGGTCTTGTCTACCTTCCTCCTCAATCCTCCTAACCCTGAAAGCTGACCTCAGGATGCTCATGAAGACCGAGTACAGCAAAAAAAGGAGGTTTCCTCAAGGGTTGCCTTGTCCCACAAGAACTTTACCTTATTTTTTCACATGTAATATGTTCCTGAAAGTGTCCATGAATACCAAATGTTCCAAAGTTGGGTTCCTTGTGCTACAGGAGAGGTACTGGTTAAGAGCATGGTTCTTACTTGGTGGCATGGGCATAGATCTGCCACTTGCCTGGTATGTGGTTGAGAGAACGCTCTGCACCTCAGTTTTCTGAAAACGGGAATGTTTATAGTAACTATCTTGCAGGGTTCTTGTGCAAATTAAGTGATTTAATGTATTGAAAGCACAGAAACAGTGCTTTCTGAAGCAGGGTCTTACCCATTGTATGTGTTAGCAATTATTGTATGTTTTAAGGTGGGTTCTATACTCAGCTGAAAAAAAGATTGACTCCCTAATTATATTTTGCCTCTAAGACACAATCACTCACGATCTATTCTAAGGCTTTGTTTTCTATCCCTCACGAGTGAATCCAGTCAACCATCTCAAGACCAATGAGCACTCAGCTGAAGCCAAAGGTTTGCTGCTTTCAGCCAGCTGATGACTTTTATCTTAGTTCCAATTGTGTTAAGTTTGTGAAACTTCTGTTTCTTATTACTGTGCCTGCACTTTTATTCTCCTGTTTTTGCTCATTTTTTGCATGCACAACCACAACAATGTATTCAAACAATTACATCAACATGGTGTAGAGCACAGGCCAAGTGGAATGGCAGTACTTCAAAAATGGGACTGTTGGCCAAAGGTTTGTGTCACCTCATGACATCTCAGCATGTTTGCTGGTGGATGTGCAAAAGTTGGAATTTGGTGAAGGAAAACCAATTTAGGAATGTCGAAGTCCAAACTATGATGGTGGTGATAGTTCAGAAGCCAAAGACCATTGAGGCTGGGACATATGCTTGGGTTCAGGTCGTGATCTGCTTGTCGAAAGGACAATTTGTGACCAGGAAGTTGGAGACAGTCATCCTTCACCTTAATAGTAGACCCATTCCAAGAGAGCTGGCTATAAAGCAACCATTCATAATGTGAATCATGTAGTGTTTTTTTTTTTAATTCCATTATAAAGGTAAGCTGGTCTTCTAAAGAAAATGGATGGCTTTGACAAGTTTGGTGACAGGTATGTCTATGTCATGCTGGGATTGTGGTGAGAGAGATTTGAGAACACTTTTAATAATTATCTGTTCCTTCCTGTAGCAGAAACGTAATAGGGGGAGATTCTTAAATGGAATTGTGAGTTCTGCTGTGTACTCTGCTTAAGAAGTTCTGGGGAGCAGTGGACACTCAAGGCTGCCTCCTCAGTGTGGCCTGGGTCCCTCTTCCCTTTTGTTCTCCGGGAGAACATCTTACATTATAGCTGATAACTCACTACCATCCATTCTTTATTCCACATTCCTTTGTTTAGTTTTGTGATTGGGGTGAGTGAGACAGCGTTGGAGTTCTTCACTCTCCTTACAGTTAGGGTTTATATAATCTTGGTATTCTCCAAGACTACCAAGCCCAACGCGGGGCCTGAACTCATGACCCTGAGATTAAGACCTGAACTGAGATCAAGAGTCAGACACTTAGGGGAGCCTGGGTGGCTCAGTCAGTTGGGCGTCCGACTCTTGGTTTCGGGTCAGGTCATGATCTCGGGGTCATGGGATTAAGCTCCACATTGGGCTCCACGCTCAGTGGGGAATCTGCTGGAGATTCTCTCCCTCTCCCTCTCTTTCTGCCCCTCCCCCCACTCACATGCTCTCTCTCTCAAAATAAATAAATAAATCTTAAGAAAAAAAGAGTTGGATGCTTAACCAGTGAGCCACCCAGGCAACTCGATATTCTCCTTACTTTGATGGCTGGATCCTAGATGTTGGAGAGGACACATGTGACTCTGAACAAGTGTGTCTGGTGATGGACATCAAGGGAAGCCTGATGCCCATGGAGGATTTCACCTGTCGACAGGATGGCCCTGTATACAGAAGCAACCAAGAGCCCCAGTCAGGGGATACCATCACCAGATAGCACTTCATAGGGACAAAACACTGAATTCCTTCTTTGCCCTCTCGTGGTAAGGCCCTGGGCTTTTTAATTCTGGGATGAAATTGTTGTAGTGATGTGGACCTGCTAAATGGACAAGGGAAGGTGGCTATTATAATGTCAAGTGGAGTTTGGATCATATAAACATTTGTGAATGTTTTTTCTATTTCCATCCCCTCACACCAGTTGGCATACGAGTGCAACAATGCCTTCCAAGCTTCTACAGGCCAGCCTGGCTGCCACTGTCCCTAGATGTTTCTGGGGACTCCAAGAGGTTTCAGACTGAGGAGAGCCCAGTCTTGTGGTCCTGGCCAGGTCAGGTTAGGTGGTTCGAGGAGCTCACACCTACCTCCTCTGTCCCGGATGCCTGTACATTGGTCAGAGTTCATGGAGTGGGATGCCATGTCACATTCTACTGGTGACGAGGGGCAGGTAAGATGTGCAGTGCTTCCCTTTGAAAGCACCTTAATTCAAGAGTTCTAGAAAATAAACTATTCCCTACCGTTATCCATCCTAGAAGCTCATATTTTCGTCAAGTTAATTTACTTCAAAGAAGGTGTGATAAAATTGTTCAGACCCACTCAGAAATCCATTATAAGGGGCTCTGGCACCTAAAAAACTTTTATTATTTTCCTGATCATAAGAGTCATGCATGCTCATTACAAAAAATTAAGAACATACAGAAAGATACGTAGAAAAAAAAAATCTCCCAGAATCTTCTCTCTCAGAAATAACTACTATTATCATTTAATGGGCCACCTTTTTTTTTTCTGTGCACAACTATTTACAAAATCCCATGGTACTTCATATACGGTTTTGCATTTTGCTTTTTTTTCACTTTGTATAACCAGAGCACGTCCCCACGTCATGATCTATTCTTCAAAAACACCATTTTAATGAGTACATAGTATTTCATTGTCTGGTCATAGCGGGATTTAGTTAACCAGTTCTCTACTTGTAGGCACCTAGACTGTTTCCTATTTTTTATGATTATAAATGATGCTGTGGTGAACATTCTTGTCCAGGAAATCTTTATCTGGGTTTCTGTTAATTTCCTTGGAAGAAATTCCCAGAAGGGAAAGTACAGAGTCTCAGCTCTGCTGTGTGGTACCTCTCTCCTCACTTGAAGATGCCCGGGGAGGTGAGTGGCTCCTGTCACCCCCAGTGGGCAGACTTCACTGCCTTGGAGGCCCGGACTGGAGGATCTCTATGCACGTCTGGGGGAAGATGCAAAAGGGGCCCCACAGCCTCCCCAGACTGTTTACCTGAACCCACTCCATGCAAAGCAGAACGTCCCCCTGCAGGAACCACTTCATAATTAACTTAGAGACTAAAGCATATTTAATTAACCATGGAAACCCTCCCAGCCATCTGCCTCTGTTTTTATTTTGAGGAAGAAGGCAGATCTTTTTTCCTTTAGTTCCCTCGTTTTGGGGATGGAGCTCACTTCCAGTATCTCAGTTCTTGTATGGAGCAGGGTCCTGCTCTGCTGGTGGTGCCCCCAAAGGGGCAGGGCCCGGGGTATAGTTTGAGGTGGCCGGCTGGGTCAGAGGTCATGCAGACCCCTGCTGGGGGCAAGGCCAAGGCAGCACCTGCTCTGGCAGGGAACTAACTGGCCATCTGAGGGTCCCGGCCCCTGCCTCTTGGCTCTTGTCCTAAAATCTCAGGCATTCCGACAGGAAGGTGCCTTAGAAGAAAAGGCCAAAGCTCTTGTCTCTCAGGTGAGGAAATGAGGTGTGGGGTAGCTCAGGGAGTGCTTGAGGGCACAGAGTCTCAGGCCCTACTTCTTTGCTCCTTGGCTGCACCCTCAAGGGAAGGGGTATGGCTTTGATTTCAGTTGTACTCTGTGGTCAGAGGATTCAAAGGGGGGGTCCTAAGGGTTATAATGGCCCACAATGTCCAAGTGGTTTAAAATGTGCAAAATGCATCCCCACAACACATCTTGCTGGACACTCACCAGCCCCTGGGGGGCACTCACCCAGCGCTGGGGGCAAGGGAGACTGGGGAAGTCATGTGACTTGCCTGCAGTCCTATAGCTGGCGAGCCAGTGTTGAGGCTGAAATGAGAACACTAAGTGCTTTGATCTGAATTGCTAATATGTCCAAAGGCCTTTTATTTCCACGGTATTCCTCAGAGGGCCCTGACTGGTTGCTTGCTGAGGAAGGGTCTGATGGAACATGAGTCCACATGTTTCTCATGACATCACCTCCTCCGGGAGGCCTTCCTGGGCCCTTCCCCCCAACCCAGGGTGAGTTGGGAGGGAGGACCTGTTCTCTGCCCCTTTGTCACCCCACGCATACCTCCATAATATACCCTAAGTCTCTAAACTTCCTGCTGTACCCCCAATTCTAGCAAAGGGCCTGGCTGACACTCGTTGGTCAATAAATGATATTGAATTTAATGAGACTGAATGTAGACACAGGCGTGAGCACTTTAATAGCTTCCCTTTCTCCTTCCTTTTCACTTTGGCAGGGGTCATCTGTGATCCCTCCAGGGGTGAGTGTTATGCGTGCCTTGGGATAGTCCCCAAGAGCCGCCATATGGACCCACTTGTGCTGCCAAGACGGCTGTGTGCCCCAGATCCTGAGCTGTCAGTGGAGACAGGGATCTAGCCCCCAGCCCCCAGCCAGGTAAAATCACCTCTAATAGATGCATAGACAGGCCTGGAGGGGACTCGGGAACATAGACCACTAGGTGGCCTTGTGCTTTTTGGGCAAATCCTTTCCTCCCTCTGATACTCACCTTCTCCTCTAGCAATAAGGCCATTTGACTGGCCCCTTCCATCCCTGATGTTGCACAACCCGTGACTCTATAATGACCCCTGTCAGAAGCCAGGAGAGGCAAGATGAGGACCAGGGCAAAAAGATAGTCAACTCCAGCAAGAGGTCAGGACACTGGACCTGCTAACCAAGCTGAAATGCTTCCTGCATACCAAAGGCTCAAGGAGAATAGAAAAGAGCAAATCTCCCGGACCTCCTGGAAAGTCCCTGCCAGGCTGACAATCTCTCTACTTTCAAGATGTAAAAGGTGTATTCCCCGAGATAGACTCACTCATCTTCAATCATTTTCCACCATCTCCAGTCACAAGCAGCATCGAAGGTGATGAATTAGGACTCGATGGACATGTTTTCCTCCAGAGCAGCGTGTTAAACCCAAAGCAGCTCCCGGCTCCGTCAAAATCAGATTAACCGAGAAAAGCCCTCCGCGGCAGAGCCCTGGGGTCTCCCCCAGTGCCACCTGGGCCGCTCTTCTCTGAAACACAGTCAAATGAGGGTGGAGAACTCATTGTTTTTTATCAAGGACATGACCCACAGGATGGAAAAATGAATCCATGGGGAAAGGTGAAAGTAAAATGCAGCTTCATTCAGGGAGCCTTGGGGAGAGAGAAAGAGAAAAGGGTACAAGCATTTGCTTTTACAAATCAAGAATGGGGAGCATGTAACTCTCTCTGGCAAACACAACCTATAATAAAAACACACCTCAGTTATATACTGTGGCCAGTTACTGAAAGAGGCCGAAGGGGAGGGGGATAGAGGGGTTCAAGGAATAGGGGAGGGGGAGAGAAGCAGAGTCAGAAACAGGTGACTCGAAATAAAGAAAAAAAAATCAAAATCAGGGAGGGAGAAAAAAATATCAGGGAGAGAGAGAGAGAGAGAATGTGAGCAACAGAGAGAGAATGTGAGCAACAAAGAAACAAAAATGCAGACAAAAAAGGAAAAGCATGCACACACAACACAGATACAGATACTTGATGTGATGAGAGACAGAGATGGAGAAGCCCAAGCCAGAGCAAGGGACACATGGGGGGTGTGAGAGGGAGGCCAAGATTGAGCTCATCCAGGAAGAGCTATTTAAAATAAACAAGGCCATCAAGGGTCGTTTTTTTATTCCCTAAAGAGACAAATTTTACCAGAATTCCTTTTTTTTCAGAATTACTTTGGAATGTGTTTTCATTCCTATCTAAACTTCGAGAGGCACAGACATTCCTCAAAATCCATTTTCTTCATTTGCCAGGGCAGACACCCCTCGTTTATGGCTCTGGGAAGGAAGATATTACGCCTGAAGTGATAGCCTCTTAGGAGGGTGCCACTGAAAACTTGGAAGTACCTTGTATTTCCACAGGTGAAGGCCTCAGGGGTCTCAGCTCTTGGGTGCAGCCCAATGGCCACACTCAGCTCCACCCCGTCCCATCCTTGAAGTAAAACCTCATTTGTTCAGAGACTGCCAATTTGGAATCAGGTCAGGGGGGTGGTTCAACCAGGGCCAGATCGGACCACTGCACTCTGCTTGGTGACAGAGTATGCAAATGAGTAATGAAAGTAAGATAGCAGCCAACGTGTTGAATGAATGAGAGGACCAAGCGCCAGGCGCTCCAGCCACATCAGACCCAGCAGTTGCTTCCCAAACCTGCCAAATACTCTCACTTTTCGCTGCCAAGAACACCACTTCTTTCCTCCTCCACTTCTGTCTGATAAAACCCTTCCCATCCATTGTCCATCGATCGATTCATCTGGATTTTAAGCAAGCACCCCTCTGCGAATCCTTTTCCAACAACTTCTTACTCCCTCGTGGGTTAATCGTTCCTTCCTTTGGGTTCCTGAGCCGGGTTGTTGCTCCGCTGTAGGTCTTAGCAGTTTTCCATTAGAGCAGGTTTTCTCAACCTCAACGCTCTCCTTTGGGGGCTGGGTACTGCTTTGTTGTGGGGCACTGTCCTGGGTGCTGTTGTGAATAGTTGGTGGCATCCCTTGCCTCCACCTTCTAGAATACAGTAGCCGCATCACCCCTGTTATAACAAATGAAAACATCTCCAGTTACTGCCGAATGTTGCCTGGGGGGTGAAAATGGAACCCAGGGACACTGCATTAGAACGAGCTGTGTCTGGGTGTGTCAGCCCCCAGAGAGGGTGCCTCCTCTGGACCCTAAGTTGTAGAATGGTGTCTGGCATAGAGAAGGCCCCTGGATTCCATAGAGGAAGAATCCAGACAGTCGGATTGTGCCCACTGAATTTAAAATAACAGCTTTCTTGAGCCAGGAGAGGATCTGTCATGTTGATCACTGAAATAGGAGTGCACTGGCTTGTGAGGTCTATAACCAGATCCCTAGGTCTCTACTGAATGCAGACCTACTGTGAGCTGTGGGCCACATGCATTAGGAATATTAAAAGAAAGCGTCTACATTTAAGGCACTTGTGATGATCTAGTTCACCGAAAAGGTGTGTAGCCCGGGGGACACTGAGGTAGGAACATCAAACAGTTTGCAATGACAGTCTGAAGTAGGTCCCTCCATAAGGTGTTAGGGGGTTTTTAGAGAAGGGAAAACCAGAGTGGGCTCCTATTCCTGTGGAGGGCTTAGGAGATGACATGGAACCTGACCTGGGCCTTTAAAGTGTGGTGTGACCTGAGAGCCAGTTGACCAGGCCCAGAAATTGGGTCTGGACTTGGGGAGGCCAAGTGTCTCCAAGTATGTCCTGAACAGCCTTCGTCAGGCTCACCTGGGATACTGGTCACAAATGCAGATTCCCGGGCCACCTAGGCTTGGTGAATCAGTTTTGCTGGGGGGTGGGCCCGGGACTCTGTATTGATGATTCTGATGCTTGATGAAGTTTGAGAGCTACTTCTGGCAGGGGGGCCAGAGGCCTGCAACAGACAGGAGTAACCGTGGTCTTCCATTGCATGCAGCCCGTAGGGTTTATACAATCTAACAGAGTGGTTAAGCACACAGGCGGTGGAGCCAGAGGGCTAGGGTTCAAATCGTGGTTCTGTCATTTCTAGCTGGACCACCTCGGGCAGTTTACTTGAAACGTCTGTGCTTCAGTCTTGTCATCTATACAACGGGTTTCGCCACGTCCCTGACTCATAGGGTCTTTGTGAAGATTAAATATGTCAATACATATAAATGCATAGCATGGTGCTGGCAGAGAGTCAATGTTCATTCAACAAATAGGAGTCGTCATCATCATCATCATTATTTTAGCATTTGATGTTTTCAGAAGGTTTGACATTGGTCTTTAAAATATGGTCTGTCACCCATACACCTGCCCTGCTCCCCTCACCTTGCTTTCAGTTACTCCCAAACCTGAGGTTTAACTGGCCCCTTGCTCCTCCAGTAGGAAGCTGGGCCCTGACGCTCTCTGGGTGAGGCGAGAGGCAGAAGTGGGATGCAAAGGAGCATCCTGGCAGGGTCAGGTCCCTCCTGGTCTGCGGCTCTGACAGGATATATTTCTTGCCTCCCCAGCTCTGGGGCAGACATACTGGAGGCCCAGACTTCTTCCTGTCCTTGCCAGATGTCAGTGTCACTCCTCAGCAACTCTTTCCCTGAGGGGTCCCGAGCCAGAGCAGAAAAGAAGGGAGGGCAGCAAACGTCTCCATCTGTATGAAAGGCTATGGCCCCGGCCCTCTTCTTTGTAATAACATGACACTGTTTCCCAAGGCCTGGCACACACGTCTTCCTCTGAGCCTCATGATGACCCTGGAAAGTGGGGAGGCCCACCTTACCCATCCTATTTTTAAAATAACAGCTTTCTTGAGCTAAAATTCGCATACTTTACAATCCACCCTGTTGAAGCGTGCAATTCAATGGTTTGTAGTGTATTCACAGAGTTGGGCATCCATCCCCTAATTTTAGAACATCTCATCACCCCCCCAAAAGAACATTTTCATCACTCCCATTCCCCTCCACCCAGCCCCTGGCAACCACTAGTCTACTCTGTCTCTATGGATTTGTCTATTTTGGACATTGCATATAAATAGATTCATACAAAATGTGATCTTTTGTGTCTGGCTTCTCTCACTTTGCATAATGTTTTCAAGGCCCACCAATGCTGTAGCTGGTGTCTGGGCTTCCTTCCTTTTAATGGCCAAATAATATTCCACTGCCTGGGTATGTTACAATTTGTTTATCCATTCATCAGGTGATGGACACTTGGGTTGTTTCTACTTTTTGGCCACTGTGAATAATGCTGCTATGAACATTTGTGTCCACGTTTTTGTATGGATATACTCTTTCTTTTTTTCTTTCTTTTTTTCTTTCTGACATACATTTTCATTTCTTTGAAGCTACACCTGGGAATACAATTGCTGGGTCATATGGTAGCTCTATGTTTCAACCTTTGAGCAACTGCTAGATTGTTTTCCAAAGTGACTGCACCATTTTACGTTCTCACTGAAGTCTATAAGGGCTGCAATTTCTCCACGTCCTCACCAACACTTGTTATTATCTGTCTTTTTGACTGTAGCCATCCTAGTGAGTGTGAATTGGTATCTCATTATAGGCCCATCTCACTTTATAGATAAGGAAATTAAGCCTCAAAGAGGTGAAGCAGCTTGTCCAAGTACACTCAGATAGCCAGAGAGGAAGCCAAAATTCAAATCAGGCATGTCTCACTTCCAAATCCACATTTTTTTTCCCTCTTGCATCAGGCAACTCTCCAAATGGAAGACTTTGGGCCTGGCCCTGTCCCCAAGTCCAAGCCGTTCTTGGGATTCACATCGGTCATGGGACAGGGACACTTTGGCTGTGAGCTGCTCATTGTTCATGCTCCTGGCCAGGCTACCAGCTGATGCTCATAGAACATCTACCATGGGCCCAGCTCAGGAGATATAATCGGTTAAAGAAGAACTGATTTCTTGAGATGCTTCATCAAATGAAAGATGATTTTTTTTTTAGCCTCTAGATTTATTATTTGCCAGTGAAAGCAAAAAGCTGGTTCGAGGGAGAGGCAGGAAAAGAAGAATGGAGAGGGACCCCTGGCAGGAGGCTTAGAGGATGATGGTTTGAGCCAGTTCAAGGAATATTTGGTGCCAATGGTGAAGATCATAGCCAGAAAGGAGAAGGCCAAGTTAAGGTAGGTTGGACTGTCTTCTAGGATGGGGTTTAGCAAGTGACTGAGAAGAGATTAAGAGGGAGAGAAAGTGGGGCGCCTGGGTGGCTCAGTTGGTTAAGCGTCTGACTCTTGATTTTGGCTCAGGTCATGATCTCAGGGTCGTGAGATCAAGCCCCTGTGTCAAGCTTCCCCCTCAACGGGGAGCCTGCTTTTCTCCTTCTCCCTCTGCCCTTCCCCTGCTCACACTCTCTCTCTCAAATAAATAAATAAATCTTTAAAAAAAAAAGAGGGAGAAAAAGCGAGGCTCGTCAGGATAATAATACCAAATGTATGCCTTCTGCTTAGTGAGTACTTCAGGGCTAGGCACTGGACTGGGTATGTTGCATATCCTACAAGATAAATGTTAAAGTCTTATTCTATGGATGAGGAAACCAAGGCTCAGAGAAGTTAAGTGCTTCAGCTAAAGACACATAGCTGGGAAAACTCAGTCTGACTTCAAACCCCATTCTCACAACCACTGAGATATCTACTGAGTGGATAACAGGAATCTTATGGGGAACACACTGTCAGAGATACTGGAAATGGGAACCAGTTCAGCCTCCCCTCTGGAAGGCTGGTCTTTTTGGAAATAGAAATACTCTGGAGCTGACGGTTTTCCCTGTCATGGCTTCAGCCTGTTTGGGCTTTCACACTTCAGTTTACAGCCTCAGCCCCTGATGTTTGCTCACTTGTTTATTCTTTTTTTACAGGAAATAAAGTCAATGAATTTTTAACGAAACTGAGCTTGAGTAGGTGACCAGTGAATCAGAAAGCCTTCCAAGTCTTAGGGTGTTGGTGGCTGAGGGGAGAGAAATTCATTCTCATCTGCCCAAAGGAGGTAGGGCTGCAGGGAGCGAGGCCCTGGGGCTTCCATAGAGTCTGGTACAGGATCACAGAAGATTAATCCTGCATCCTTCCATGGCAGGATCTCCAAGCTCTCTGGGAAATCGTGTCTCTCAGGGACAGCAGCTGGTGAAGGTGCTGCTGGGGGATAAAACATCCAGCTGCATGAAGATGGTCTAGCCCAGGGAGTGGCAAGCTTTCTTATAAAGGCCCGGATCATTTTAGGCTTTGCAGAACTCCTATGATCTCTGTCACCTGTTCCTGTCTTCCTCCTCCCCTTCATCTTCTCCTCTGTCCTCTTGTTCTTCTCCTTTTCCTCTTGTTCTTCTCCTTAAGATGTATTTATTTACTGAGAGAGAGACAGAATATACACAGGGAGAGGAGCAGAGGGAGAGAGAATCTCAAGCAGACTCTGTGCTGTGTGAGGAGCCCACCACAGGGCTCGACCTCATGACCCTGAGATCACAACCTGAGTGGAAACCAAGAGTCGGACGCTTAACTGACTGTGCCACCCAGGTGCCCCTCCTTCTCCTTTTTCCATAACCATTTAAAAATATAAAAGCTGTTATTATTAGCTCATGGACTATACAAGAACCGAATGTGGGCCAGATTTGCCTCTGAGCCATAGTTTGCAACCCCTACTCTAGAAGTATCTTGAAAACTAGCTTGGATAAATTGCTTCAATTCTTGGGGCTTCATATAATATATTTATTGAACACCTACTGTGTGCATGCCTTCGTTTCAGAAAATGTTCATGCTCTTTGCAATGGAAAAAACATGAAGATAAACCAAGAAGCTCAGTTCCAGCTGCTGTGGGTGTGAGGTGAGAGAAACAGCATTGGGCCTGGAAAGAGAGGGCCTGGGTGTCTCTCCTACCTTGGTCTCCAAGGAACCTGCAGAACCACATCTGTAAAAAGGAGACAATAATGTATTCTTTGCTGGATTAAATAAGCTCACGAATAAAAATTTTGAAAAGCACTATACAATAGAAGCTATATTTAGAGAGTTGGAGTTATGCATACCTATGAATAATTGATTGACAGTATAAAACTACAATACTAGAGATGTCCCAGGTTAGGAGAGAAAAGAGGCTGACTGAGATGCTATGATTTGGGACCTACAATTTAGACATGTATCAGTTAGGATTGGTTTGGCTTCTTCCTACAGCCAAAGTAATAGTGGCCTAAATAAGAAGTTGTCTTGCTCTCATTTAAGGTGCAAAAGTAGGCAGTCCAGAACTTGTGAGGCAGTCTTATGGTGTCAGGAACCCAGGATAGTTATTTTGTTCCATTATCTTTGCAAGAAGCCTCTATTCTACAAAGTTACCTTATGGTCCAAAATGGCTGCTAAGCCTCCAGCCATTATATCTGCATTCCAGGCACGTGAAAGGGAAAAGGAGCAAAGAAGAAGACACACACCAGCAGCCTCTTAAGAAAATTTCTTAGGAGCTGGCTCCAAATACTGTTATTTAGTTAACTAAGTAAAATTTAAATTAAAACAATAAGTAATAAAAAATGTTTTAAAAACCCACAAATAATTGGCTATACATAGCAGCAGAGGAGGCTGAGAAAGTCAATCTTTATCCCGAATGGCCATGTGCCCAGCTAAAACCAAGAAGTTCTGTTTTTATTTTAAAGAGGACAATGAATATTACAATAGGCAACTAGCTATGCTACACTAAGTAGCAAATTCACAGAAAGGACGGGTGTCTGGGTGGCTGCATCAAGGGAACGAGACTGAGCCTGGCCCTGAAGAAATAGACTGAGTTTTAAGTGGTAGACATGAGTGGAGAGGGCACTCCAGGCAGGGGAATGAATGTAAGTGAAGGGGACTGCACTCAGTACGGGGGAAGATCGTGGGCAAGCTAGCCTAGCGGGCACTCCTCTAGAGGAGGTTTGAGAACTAGTGCTAAAAGCTAGCTGTAACCAGTGGGGGGCCCTATACCTTGGGGGATGTATGGCTCCTTGGCCACTTTGTGACTCCCCAGAAGCTCCTTCCCTTGTCCTCCCCTCCCTTTGCTATGTCACCTACATAGCAGCCTTCTGCTGGCCAGCCTCCCCCCAGGAGGTGGTCCTCAGCACCTTTCGGGCGGGCCCTCTCAACTAGTCTGTCCCCCCACCCCCACATCCACCCCGTCCTTGGCAACACCTGGCATCTGTGTCCCACTAAATTCTGCTGGTGGACATGGTTTCCCGCTCAGCGGTCTCTCTTCCCCTGGCTGAGGACACAGGCTGCACCAGTTGGACTCTTTCAGGGTGAGCTGAGTCCTACTCTCTGTGTTCTTCTAGCTCTGGGGGTTTGCCGGTCAACGTATCTCTCCCTTCAGCTCCACGGAGGTGTCTGGCCGGTGGGGCGCCCTCACTTGGCTTGGGGAGATGGAGACGGGTGGGTGCAGTCCCAAAACTCCCACCTGGCATCTCCTTTAAGAGAGTGTGAGCACTTCACGCCTGAAGTTCGCAGCCTTGGGGCCTCAGGGGAGATTCCAAAACAGCAGGGCAAATCCTCAGGGAGTGTCCTGCTCAATATATTACATTTATTGACCACTAGCCACGTGTCCGGCACCTTTAGCCCATTACCTATGAGGTTGTTACAAGTGAAGAAATGGACAGAAGTGAGTGAGGACTGGAATCCTCTGGGAGAAAGTCATGAAAAGAGAGGCTGGGAAAGAGCTGGGGCCAGATTGCAGAGGCTTCTGTGCCAGGCTCGGAAGCACAAACTTTCTCCTCTGAGCACACTGAAGGATTGTGAGCATGTTGTGATGTGGTCTCAGTTGCGCTTTTGAAAATTTGATCTCAAAGTAAAGTGTGGGATGGATTGGGAAGAGAGGGACAGATGTCTTCCCATTACAGTGTGAGTCCTGGGAAGGGCTGGGGTATGGGGAGGAGAAGGAGGAGGGAGACGGAAGGGAAGGTGGGAGAGAGGAAGGAGAAGGGATGAGGGAGAAAGGAGGTGAATGGGGGGAGAGAGAGGATTTGGGTGCTCTATTTCTTTCTTCATTTGGAAGCATACAATTCCTGAGTGGGGTGGTTGATCTGTATCAAGATGGTCTTGAACTATTTTGGATAATTCTTTAAACTATGCCCCCTCCAAGAATTCTAATATGTGCCTTCCATACAATGTTGTTCAAATTTATTGGCACATGTAGTGGATGCTGTGGGGTCACCTGACCCTTCTTGCAGGACCAAGGTCCTCATTCCTCCAGCTGCTGGGAGTGTTGGCAGATGATGACTTTCACCAGAGTCCCTTTCCAGAAATTGCCCTCAGCCATAACAGCCATCTTACTTAAGGTCATGCCACCTCCCTGCTTCCTGGGGGCAGCCTGCATCCCACCATGGATATGGGGGTATAAATACCAGTCTCTTTGTACTCAAAAGTATCAAATCAATCCAGAGATCTTGTAGGATTGGCTGAGAACTTTGTTGAAACTTCAAACCAGTTCAGCAACTCTCTCTGCTCAATCCCACTTCCTTCACTCTCTTTCCCTGCCCTCACCCCTGGCTGTTGATGCCCAAAGTACCCTCAATAAATTTCCTTTATGCAAATCTCCATTTCAGAGTGTTCCTTGGCTATCCAATCAGAGTTGGGTTTAGGATCACCAAGTCTGGTCAACACCAGGGCTGTCCATCCATTCAGCAAATAATTGTTTGGTACCTATGATAACTCCAGCCCTGGAAGTCTTCCTGGATGAGGAAGGATTCCAAGCAGGCCTCAAAGGGCAGGCAGAATGTAGAAAGAGGAGGAGAGGAGATGAATTTAATAGAATCATTGTGTGTGTTGGTGATCATTACTGTTTTATGTCAGCTTGTGGAGCATCCCCCACAATGGAGATAATAGCAAATGAGTAGATTTTGAAATTATCCTGGATGGCCAAGTTTACTAATTCCAATTCTAGAATGGTGCTATCTGATCTCTAATGGGTGCTGGATTATTACCCATTGATTATTACCCTTTCTCTGGGAGAAAGAACAAGGGCTGTTCCCATAGCAATCCTGCCTAAACCATTGAAAATTCTATCGTGTTCCTGCTACATGATGTGTCCCATTGGCACCCTTTAAAGTGGTGACCCACATAGGGGTGCCTGAGTGCCTCAGTCGGTTAAGCGTCTGCCTTCGGCTCGGGTCATGATCCCAGAGTCCTGCGATGGAGGCCCACATTGGGCTCCCTGCTCAGCATGGAGCCTGCTTCTCCATTTCTCTCTGCTCTTCCCCCCTGCTCACCCTCTCTCCACTACTACTCCATGGCCAGCATCAGGAAGGAAGAAGTTCCTAGCCCCATGGTATTATTTGCAGCCTTTGTCTTGAGCCTACCACCTCATCCCACTTCCAATCTTCTCTGAATTATTTCTGGGTACCTCTACTGGTCTCTTGCCCCTTTCCCCTGCCCAGGGCTTTTCAGACTCTCTTGGACTCTGATGACTGAGGTTGCCCTCCCAACTGTCAGCTTTTGACTCCTTCCTCATTTATGGTCCAGACACTTTCTTTACCCTATCTTCTTCTCATGCCAGAGGTCCCCCCAGCCCTGCTTAGCCCAGACTCTATTCCAGCATTGCCCCAGGTGTTTTGCTAGCCTATAATTCCATGACCACAGACCAAGTTCAGCATTATTGGGAAGGGTATCTGCAGCTCTTAGGGAGTTGGGGTCTGTGGTTCTGTCTGGAGCACATGACTGAAATGATCTTCTCATTCTAAGCACAAGAGATGCTGTGAGGTCCCTTCTTTCGGGTCTTTCATCTCTACTCCCACCTGGCATGGTGTGGCTTCTGGGTCCTTGTGCAGGCCCCCAGGAATAAGACAGGTTTGAGTGGAGCCCAGTCCTCAGTGAGGCAGCCGGAGGCTTCTCTTTGAAAGAAATCAGGAGGGAGACCTGAGAAATAGGAAACAGCCTAGGAGAAGGAGGAAGAGGATGAGAGGTTCTGTCCATGGTGCTGAACAGCAATCCCAGAAATAGTTGTTGCGCTTCTATTTATTTTTTTATTTTTATTTTTTAAAGATTTTATTTATTTATTTGACAGAGAGAGACACAGCAAGAGAGGGAACACAAGCAGAGGGAGTGGGAGAGGGAGAAGCAGGCTTCCCGCCGAACAGGGAGCCCGATGTGGGACTCGATCCCAGGACTCTGGGACCATGACCTGAGCCGAAGGCAGACGCTTAACGACTGAGCCATCCAGGCAGCCTGTTGAGCTTCTATTTAAAGCTCGGCACTCAACTGTGCACTCTGAAGAACCCAAAGGACATTAAGGAACCCAGTTCTTGCCATAAAATGTCCTTTAATCAAGTTGGAGACAATAAAACACCCACATAAGAACACATAGGAATAATCCTAAATGGTCCATATAATGATGGGTCTCAGAAAACTGCACGGGAGAGAGGTTCTGGCTGTCTTGATAAAGGGGTCCCTGAGGCAAGCCCCATTTTAGGGTCTATGCCCTTTAGAAAAAAAAGCATTTTATAATGAAGTGTTCTTTCTTTAGTCACCATAGCATCCCCTAGAGTATTTAAAGCCTAAAGGTCTTACATATAAACTAGTTGATCTAACTACAGCAGTTTAAATTTAGGTGCTAATGCTATGTTTGAAATGTAAGCATGTGATTGGCTTTTTAGTTATGTCTTTAAAAAGGATTGGTGAGTAATTTTTGTCTGGGTGCCCATCCCCAGACCATATGGCCATGGTCTCTCAACCCTTGCTTGTTACAGTCACACCCAGCTGATCCTGTAACCAGGAGGCTCCAGAGGCTCACTGTTGAGTGCTTTCTCTTCTCAGTCCTTCCTCTGCCCTCAGCATTGTCAGGACCTGAGTATGATGGGACTATGCCCACCCCCCTTCTCCACCCTCAGTATTTGCCTCCCCCCTTGCCTTGAAAGGGAAGAGGCTGCAACTTTGGACTCCCTATTTAGCTGGGGACCTCCCTGCCTACCATACTGGGTTTTAGGAGGGATAGGAGGAGGCAGCTTGCTTGCACCTTTATCCAGACTGTATCTTTGTGAAGGTTAACTGCTCACAGAGGAAAGGGATTGCTTTAGTTCTATCATTGAAATTGGAAAACTAATATTTCATCAGACTAATATACTGATCCCTGACTAACTTGCTGTATGAGGGGCAGGTCACATGTCTATTGGTCTCAGTTTCTCTTTTAAAATGAGAAGAGTAGACAAGATGGCTGAACAGGGTTCTTGTTGGTTCAGCCTCACAGTCTCTGAATCAGAATGTGTTGGTTGGGCCCTTACTTACATTGGACATCTACCTAACTCCCTGAAATCTTAACTCCCTGAGAGCTAATGCTCAGGGAATTCTCTGTCCATGGGAGCACTCTTTATTCTTATGTGGAATTGTTGCTTTCAACTTTATTTAGTGTCCCACAAAGGATCTAGGCTAGATAACATGAACCCTAAAGGAACCCTTCCCTCATCTCTCCCTTGAGAACTTAATCAAAGCCAGACTCACTAACAAGCTCCTTTAATTTCCATTAATTCAAGAGAAAAGGCAGGGGGCATGACCAGCTCCAAAGCCTCACCACCTGGAATGAGAAAAGAAAAGAGGGAAGAAAGAATAGATTTTCACTCATAGGATTCATTCACAGGGCTTCAGGAAGGGACTGAGTGATACCAAGAGGTGACTGGTGCAGATAGCAAGGTTGGAGATAAGACATAAACCCCAATTCAGTGTGTGATAAAGATTACCCAAGAAGGTTTTC